GAGATACTGAGAAAGGAGACAGCTCCTGTCCTTGGGGCGGCCGGGTCTGATGGGGACAGAGGGGCAAGGGGACACTCCCACCGAGGGCAAGCACACTAAACACCACACAGCCTTGTCTGGGGTGATGGAATAGGGTAAGGCAGAGTTGGACTTTCTGCAGAACCAGCACAGGCTGAGAGGAGGAGGAGAAGAGAGAGGGAAGAGTTTTACGGCCAAGGAAAGCAGCTTCGGCAAAGGGCTGAGGGAGGTAAGGGCCAGGATGGAGCAGGGATTGGGAGCCTGAACCCCAGCTTTTGGACAGTCATGTCAGGGAAGAGCCATAGGCTGCAGAAGGCGTCTAGGCAGGAGGAGGACAAGGGGAGCAGGCCAGAGGGTATCTGAGGAGGAGACTCCGCAGGCCAGAGGCAGGTGGCAAGTAGGGCCTGGAGTGGGCTGAAGGAGCCCAGTGCCAAGACTGAGCTGATTCTCTAAAAATGCTAGAAAAAATAAAACAAAACAAAACTATGTGCTCCTCCTGGGAAGGCCCCTCCTCACTTTTAGGAAAGCTCTCTGGAGACCCCTCTGGAAGGAGGCTCCACCTGGGAGGGGCTGTGGAAGACAGTGGCCACAGGGGCTGCTAACTTGGGCCTAGGCCTCAGCAGCTGAGGGCCAGCAGATGGGAGGGCACAGGAGGGTGGGGAGGGCGGAGAGGGCAGGGAGGGCACGCCCTGGCTGGAGAGGCAGCTCCGAGGATTCTGGCAGCTGGCCCCTGACTGGCTGTGCGACCCTGCCGAGCTTGTGTTTCAGGTGCTTCCTGTTATTAGCATCACCTGTACAGGGAGGATTACTGTCCATACGAACTCCTGCACGGGGGCCCCAGGACCCAGCTAAGTCCTGCTTCTCCTCCTGTTTCTCTGCTTGCCTCTTTCTGGACTCCTTGCCTCCTCCCCGGAGAACGAACCATCTCCAAGTTCAATCCCAAGGCTTCATTCTCCCGGCTACATCTCCCTCCATGAGGATCTCCCACTGCTTCAGCCCTGTGGGGTTAGATCTGAGCCTCCAGGCTTGCCCTCTCGTGGGGCATGAAATTGAGTATTAGCCACGTGAAGGACTGGGGTTCTATTTTATGTTGGGCCGCTGTTACATACCAGGCTCTGTGACACACACCACACAAAACAGCCCTAAGCTTTGTCCATTTTACAGAGGAAGCTGATTTAGGAACTTATTAGATAACTATACATCTGGGTCTGTCTGATTCCCAAACCGAGACCTTTTTCCTTTGTATATGTGAACAAGACTGACTCACAAATATTCTTTACAAGTTTTCTTACTCCCTTCTTCATTCCTCCCTCCAAAAACCCACACAGGAGTCTGCCATCACCTCACACCTAGCCTCCATGGACGTGAGCTCTGCAATCCTGCCCCACCCTCCTCTGTCCAACTTCCTGTCTCTGTCAAGACCCCAGTCTTTTCCCTGGTGCCCAGTGCTCTGTCCTGCAGGTTCTTTTAAAATGCACCCAAGAAGGCAGCAAAGGACAATGGCCACAGATGGGTGGCAGAAGGCCATCCTGTCCACCCCACACTGTAGGCACAGTGACCACACACAGCCTAGCCACCATCCCTGCCTTGCCTGTGTGGTCCCATGTCTCCCGGGCTCCCCTCCTGTAGCAGAATCTTCCTAATCCCTCCCCAAGGGACCAAATGGAATCGGTTTTGTTTCCACACACCAGTAAGGACTGAAATGACTGCTCCAAGTGGGTTGGATGGATGAAGAGTGCAAACCCCACAGTAGGGGTTTCCCAGGCTCCCACCAAACAAAATCAGGAGAACAAGCCACGGGGAGGCACCCCTGGGAAGCTTAGGGGATGGGGCTGATCCAGCCGCTGTCTCCAAGCTGGCCCCAACTGAGACCTACTGGCATTGAGTAGTTTTACCACCCTGGGAAGACAATGATTGGGTAATTCCCCAATTGCCCTTGTTTCCAGTGAAGCAGAAAAAAAAAAAAAAATTAATCCCTCTCCAGTCACCACAGTCTGTCTACGGTGTAATTGAGCACCGTGCATGCAATAGTTACTGTAAGAGGAGTACACGGAAGAAAGTCACTTGGACTCTGAGTGACTCGTATTCTTGAGAATTGGAGGCTTAGAGAGGGTGATGAGAGGATGACTTCCCAAAGCCTGAGGAGGAGAATCAGAGAAGGAATCGAGGCTGTAAGGACTTAGTAGAGTCTCTTAAACACAATTTCCAAACTGGATGCCCTAGGAGACAAATTCAAAGAAATTCTGGGGATGTCAACTTAGGTTATCGGTGGGTAATAAACAGTGACCTGGAACCAAGGAGCAGTAAATTAAATCAATAATTTTTCAGTGACCAGAGGATCTAGAATTCAGCTTCGGCGAGGCTGGGGAGAAATATAAAAGGTGGAACTAGGAAGTAGAATGGAGACAACTGACCCTGCACTGTTTGTTTCTCTCTGGGAAAACAGATAAAAATCAGGACTACACTTGAGGTTCCCACCCTTGAGGTAGCACTAGTGTGTCCAGCCTTCTCCTTGCCATGACATGGTCAGCCTCGACTTTGCAAGCCAGTTGTTAAATGCAGCCATTATTAGAAAGTAAATTATATAAACTTGAATTTAAATGAATTACATTAAAACAAAGAAAATACTCAAAACTCATTACTTCCTGATTATTTTACTACAGCTCACTATCACCTAAGCTCTTTTTTGTTTTTTTGAGACACAGTTTCACTTTGTCACCCCTGCCATAACGTCATTGCTCACAGCAACCTCAAATTCTTGGGCACAAGAGATTCTCTTGCCTCAGCCTCTTGAGTAGCTGGAACTACAGGTGCTGCCACAAGGCCCAGCTATTTTTAGAGATGGGGTCTTGCTCTTGCTCAGGTTGGTCGCAAACTCCTGCACAGGCAATCCACCCACCTGGATTCCCATAGTGCTAGTATTACAGGCATGAGCCACCGTGCCCAGCTTTAAGCTCTTGAGGTTATTTGCTTCCTCTCTTGTGGCCGTGTTGTGGAAATATCATCGATGCCATGCCACAGAACATTTCTCCCAACTCATGCCCACAGTACCATGTAAGCAGGCTGAGATCAACCATAGTTGGAGTCTTGATATCATGGAAATAGGCAAATGCTGTAAATCAGGGCTTCCCTGCTCCTACCCTACTCCACGCCCAAAGCCACTGTGAAGCATTTATCACCACAAGTGTCCTCCTACAGCACTGAACAAAAACGACCAAGGTATCCCTGAAGCTAAATCATTGGAACAGAAACTTCCCTCCCTTCTCGCCCTGGGATGGTAAGTGCAGTGATGACTATGACCTCAGCCTTGGATTTAGGGCTTCCCTGGCTTTCCTGGTGACTCATCCTAAAAGGAAGTTTTTCTCAGAGTCTCTCTGAAATCTCTCTTGCTGCTTTTTAATGTAGTTTCCTTTCCAGAGCCTCAGTGTTCCCTCCTCTCCAAAGAAGGCTGAGCCTGAGCACGGCTCCCTAGTTCGTGGAATGAGAAGATGATATCACTCAACACAACTTATACAGCCAGCTGGCTGCCTCTGTCCCTCACCACCTTGCAGGAGGCCAAGCTGGAGGCTTCTCAAACTGGGAGCGCCCTTCCCAAGTCATCCTATTCAGTTCCCTGCCTTAGGGCGAAAGTATGCTAGGCATAATGCTCTGCTGAGATAGAGATCTAACTCTCCATCTGTGAAGAAGTCATTTTATAAGTGCTCATAAATGTTACCAAATAAAGGAAGGGATGGATGGGTCCTGGAGTTCCCTGCTCCCCTCCCTGTTTAATCCCCTTCCCCCTATACCTTTGCCCATTCCCAAGAACCCCTCTACCTCCCCACCCCCCAATTATTCATCTCTTATTCCCTTTATCTCATTATCAACTCTCATTTCTCCTCCCAATCTCTATGAAGGCAGAGCCAGCAATGCCAGCACCCCTTTGCAAATACCCAAGTCATCTCAAGGGTTTCCAGGCTCCCTAAACACAGCCACCCTGAGGCCCACACAAACCGCACACCTCATGTGGTCCTAAGGTAGCGGTGGGAAGAACTTAGGAGGATGAACTTCTCTTTAGGAGAAAAGAGACTACAGGAGAAGAGTCTGGGCTCTCAAGAAGCAGGTGGCTGTGAAGAGGCAAATGAAATTACATGACCTTGAAGTACTATGCTTTTCTGAAAATCTCCCGCCACCCCTAGACCAGACAAGTATCCAGCTGCATGCCTGCTGCAGCCATCCTGTGTAGAGTACAACCACTTGGTCCATTAGAGACAAGTGAATTGGAAAGGTAATGTTCTGGGCTCCCTGAAAGTGAACTTGGACCTAGGGATCAAAGTTATACGGGGACAAGATCTGGGTTCAAGAGAAGAAATGTTCTATTCAATATTAGCAGTGAGAGGTCAAATGACCTGCTTTGGGTGGTGGTGAGCTACCACTGAAGGTATTTAAGAAGAAGTTCCGACTTCTTACCTTTGTCAGGAATGTTATAGAAGGAATTCAAATATCAGAGAAAGATACTGATGTCCTGGAGTCTAATGTGCCTAGATCATGTTCTGAATTATTTCCTTTGTGGCCTTGGTCAAGATAGCTAATCTCTCTGAGCCTTAGTTTCTTCATCTGTATAATGGGGATAAAGCACAACTTCATCAATAAATAAAAGAAAATATCAAAAAGCACCTGGTGCTTAGTGGGTGCTTAGTAAATATCAATCCCCTTCCTATCAAAAGATGGCGCTGAGGTCTTTTTATTCCCTCAGAGTATGGCTTTGAACCCCTTTCTTGCTGTTCAGAAGGAAAGAAGTCAGGATTAGCTAGATAAATGGAAAAGACAGAAAGATGCTAAGAATATCAGGGAATATTTAGAGGTCATCCCTGACAGTCCTCTCGGTCCTTTCTTCTAACCTTCTATAATGAAGAAGGAAAAGTAGTTTGGGATTGAAAGCCCAGCCTGAGGGGGTCTCAATTTCCCCATCTGTATAGTGAAGGAATAAGATTTTTTAAGCTGAACTTCAGAATAATCATTTTGAACTTCACTTATTTATCCTTACTAAACAGCTCATCATGAATCCAGCCAAGGTCTTTCCCAGCAACTAGTACAATCATGTAAAAGGATTTAACGCTTGCAGATAGCACATCTCTAACCATGGGCAATCCCCTGGCCTACAAGAAAAAAGAATCAGCTCTATGCGACAATGAATGTGAAATGGCAACAATATCATTCAAGTGACACAGAATTGTGAGGAAAATATAAAGGAAAAAAATCAAAGACACACACGCACCCAGAAATCTACCAGAAGGATAATACTGAGATCTAGAGTTTCATAGAACTAAATACAATATCTTATATTTCCACAAACACATTGCCCAATGTAGTGAAATGGAAATATTCTGATGTCACCACAGACAGATATAGTATTAATTTCAACCCTCTCCAATAATCCATTTAAACTAATTGAAGAGCCTACAGTACATTGAAACATCTGCCAAAATATTCCAGAGTCAAATGTAAATAAATAGTATGGAAGAATCAAGGAGGAAAGACAATAAAATCAAGGCAGCCCAAACAGATGAAATGTAAGTCCAACAAAAGGATTCTGAAGGAGATCCGCACTAAAGTCTAGGATCCCTGATATAAGGAACCAAGTGTAAAGGCAACACAGCCCAAGTGTTATCACAGGACTAGGAGAACCCATGCTGCTTTTCCTGATATGTCTCTTAGCAGACATGAAATTACTGATATCAAGAACTGTATCCGTCTCTCTTCTCTTTCCACTCTCCTGCCTGTCTGCTCTACTCTTCTCTCTACCCCTCTTCCCCCTCACTCTTCTCTACTCTCCCTCTCTCTCTTCTCTTCCCACTCTCCCTGCTTTTCTCTTTTCCTTAATGCTGCTCCACAGCCTCCCTCCCCCACCAATAAAACCTTTCATACCAAAAAAAAAAAAAAAAAAAAAGAACTGTATCCTTTCGGCTCTATTTTTGCTACCAAAGCACAAATGATCTGACATAAAATACATCTAAGATGAGAAACAGTCCAGATAACTCAGATGTACAAATACCTACCCCTCTAGGTCACTGTGTTATCCTGATAAGCTCATCAAATACAAAATCATTCACATTCACCAAATGTTCATTTGAACTATGAGCCTCCTTCTTGAATCTTCAGCAATTAGTATGGACCTCATAGATTTTTTTAAATGTAATCTTGCTCAGCAAAGGAAATTAATCCCATCCAGTTTCTTTTACTAACCATGTCTATTCCGCCTGAGAAATTCTTAAATCATAGGCAAGTAGGCATTACAATAGCAAAGTGAATTCCAGTGACCCACAGAGGATATTGGATGTGGAAGGACCACCAGAACTGTTTCTCCTTGACTACATCCCCCAGCTTGCTGTACCACCCCCTCATGCCTTCAGTATGTACATCTGGAACGCTCTTTGTTTGCTTAATAAAGATATCCCTCGCAACTTTATCTCAAATACTGCTTTTTAATTAAGCACTCCCCATCTCACTTGCAAGACAAAACTTCTCACTCCTATTAACTAAAACAGTGCTTATTGAGTTCCACTTTTTTGTTGTTTTTACCAGAAATGACTACAGCATCCTCATCAAGAATACACTCACTGTAAATATCAGGACCAGGGATTAGACAAAAGAAGTGCTGGGAAATACTAAATTACTCAACTGACCCCTAGGAATAGCCAACTGCTTCAGAGGATAAGAGTGTGAAGTCAGAGGTCAGATAGGCTTAGGTTTTAATTACAGATATTCCATCATAAGGCAGTAACTAAAAAATCTAAAAAAAAAAAACTTGTTTTCTAAATAAAAATTTAGTAATGGGCCCACATTCCCACATTAATTCACTTAGTATGTCTTTCCCTTCTTTTCTTTTTTTTTTTTTTTTTTT